AGGGAAAAAATCCTGCCATAAAGTTGAAGAAGGCCATGCTATCAGTCCTAGAAAAATAAATGCCATGTACACATTCTTACTTGCTTCCATCCAGTATCTGAGCACAGGTAATTAGGTTGGGTGGGATATCCAAGACCTGTTGTATATATTCTCTTACAATAAGCAGTATAACCATAAGCCACTCAAGCAAGACCTGTTCCTCTAACTACAAATTGTTCTAGTCTCCAGAAATGATTAATAATTGTTAAACCACCTTCCATAACCCACAAATATTATTTCAAAATCAGAAAAAAGAGGGCAAATTACTTGAGCAAATTTGCTGCTTACACACAGCAAAAATGGCTTACAGGTGTATGTCATCAAGTTAGGTGCTGTGGTGTCTATAAACTACAAAGGCTTTGAAGGGTCTTTCTTGTGGAAATGAGAAATGGATTCCATTTTGAAAAATTAAAATTAAAAGAAAAGTCTACCACTCTAAAATTAAGCCAAAGTCATCTTAAAGCAAGTCACATGTCAGATAGGAATTGAAACTTGTTCATTTCCAATAGAAATCCAACTCCTAACTTGATAACATACTTCTAGTTCTGATGTAACATGTGGGTGACAACAATATAACATATATATAAATGAATTGAACATGACACAAAATGCGGCAGAAGAAAGATTGTAAACTCTTGAATATGTATTAATCCAATATCTTTCCTGATTCTCTGTTATTAAGTGTGAGCTCAGACCTTAAGTCAATTGTGACTATTACTATAATTAGGTCAAGTCTGCACTTCTTTGCATAGCAACTCTAAAGTACTTTAAAATTCTCTTAGTTAAAGAAAAAGAAGAGAAAAAGGAAATATACATACAAACCCAAGAAAACTATGTCTAACTACAAAAGCTGATATAATGAATTATGGATGCCTAATTTTATGAAGTAATACAACAACTGTTATAAAGATGAGTTAATAGTAACATATATGCAACAGTTTAACTGGGACACAAACAGGTTGATACTGAAGAGTGGCACATCACAGTATATAATGGCTTGTTTATAATGATTATCCGTCATCACAAGTGTTTTCTTTATCGTTGCTGCCGAAAGTCAGCGGAGACAACCCTGAAGTTGTCATTAGTCACTGTAGCAGATGCAAATATGACACCTGCATATAAATCACTGCACAGAATATCAGCTAATGCTGTCTCTTCAAGCTTTATTTCATTTGTATATCATTACTTAAGAAATATCTCATGCTAACAGCCAGGGGTAAATACACTTTCCATTGAGTGTACACTGACATACTTCGCTTCTTGAATTCAACACTCTTCCACTTCTGCACTCCTTAATGTTGCATTACTAATCACAGACTGAACTTGACTCTTTTCTAGAAGACATACTTTTGTAATGGAATTCAACTTTACTAAATGAAACAGTGCTTCTGAACAATGTTTAGTATCATGCTTTCAATGAATTCACTAAGATCATTTCCTGCAAACATCATACCGTCTTGTCTCAATTTATCATATCTGGTTTTGAACCATGTTGTAACGGACTTTACATTAATGGATCGTGTTACTACTATTTACTCCCTGGTCCCAAAGGTGAGTGACAAGCAGGACTGACAATGCTGTTAACACACTATGGATTGAAATAAAGAATGAGGGCATTTACCCTGATGAAGCTACAGGCCTCTGTGCGTGACGATTCTATTGTGGACCCAAGATCATGACAGAATAGCCACTGAACGTCGAGAAGCAGCATGGACATTATCCAGACTGCTCCACTTTTTATGACCATTACGGCATAACTGTTCTGCATACTTGCCCTCACAAATGCGGGACATAGCTTCTAGTTTCTGTGCTCGTTCTTTACTTAGGGGTTCTGCTGGGAAAGTCAAGTCATTGGCCTCTGCTAGCGTACGTAAGCTAAAGTAATATTTAGCATACACAGAGGACGGCACATTGATATTAAACTGAATCATTACTAGGTATTGGCGTTCCAATTCATTCCTGTAATGAAAGAAACAGATCTTAGCTGGCTTCATCAACTGTACAAAAAAATCATAGATGAGTCACTTGCAAAATCAACCAGAACTAGGTAATATAGAAATACAAAAGAATACTCTACACAAAAAAAGGGAAAAAGAAAGATGGGGAGAAAGTGGGTGGGATAAGGGGGGGGGGGGGAGAAAGAGAGACAGAGAGAGAGGATGAGAAAGAAAAAGATAGAGAGGGGAGGGGGATGGAGGGAGGGAGGGAGAGAGGAGAGAGGAAGAGAGGAAGAGAGGAAGAGAGAGAGAGAGAGAGAGAGAGAGAGAGAGAGAGAGAGAGAGAGAGAGAGAGAGAAGAGAGAGAGAGAGAGAGAGAGAGAGAGAGAGATGAGAGAGAGAGAGGGAGGGAGAGAGGGAGGGAGAGAGGGAGGGAGAGAGGGAGGGAGAGAGGGAGGGAGAGAGGGAGGGAGGGAGAGAAGGAGAGAGGGAGAGAAGGAGAGAGGGAGAGAGGGAGAGAGGGA